TTGAGCTGACTCCATCTCCAGGCCGCATATAAGCTTTTCACGCTGTGTGGGTTCTGGAGCCGGAGAGACTTCGGGCCCGGGGGGCCTTCCCCGGGCAGGAGCAGGGCTGGCACCTCCCCTTGGGGGTGGCTTTGCTCTGGGCTCCCAGGCACGACCTCAGGCCAGATCCAAGTCTCCCAGGGCTGCGAAGGAGCTCAAAGGACCCAGGAAGTCAAAGCTCTAGCAGACTTTGGCTTCACCCAAATGTGGCCTCATTTTCGACGAGGACAGAGAGGTTCAGGGCAGTCGTTGGCAGATGAGCAGAAATCAGGACCACTGCCTTCGGCTTCCCGGACTCAGAGAGGACCCAGCGGTGATGACTGCTGTTTACTGAGCACTTACCTTGTGCAGGGCGCAGCGCCAAGCACTCCCCGTGATGTCCCTTGTAAGCACCTTACACACCTTTGCAGTTGGGACAGCTGTTCTGTGCAGATGCGGGAGCTCAGCTCAGAGAGGTTATGGAAAACGACTTGTCTGAGGATGCACAGCGAGGGGGCTGCACCCAGGCCTGTCAATGTCGCCCTCTTTGTGCTGCCGGACCCGCTGGGTTAACTGCGCCCTGTGCAAGCTGGGCTGGGTTTCTCTTGCCTCTGCCAGGTCCAGTGAGCCAGTCCCCGCCGGCATCTCCCCCGACCCGAGCCAAGCCCAGGATGCCACGGCTCTGTCATCCCCAAACTCTGTCATTTCACGCTGTGTTGGCCCTGCCGTGTTCCTGCCCTCTGGGGACTGTCAGGCTAAGCTGGGCTGTGTCCCAGCCGTCCGTGGAGAGAGGACATGCAGACAATTGACTAGAAAACACAGTCCAAGCTCCAGGCAGGCGATATTAGCTGTGTTCTCAGGGCTCAGGCAGGTCAGGGCCGCTGTGAGGCAGACAGGTGTGGAGTGCAGGACCTTCCGAGGCCGGGTTTGGATAAACAGGGTAGGCAGCTGGGACCCAGCAGACAGCCAGGTCCAGGAGCTGGGACGGGAGGTCACAGGAACACTGAACAGCAGTGGCTGACACTTAACCTGCTTCCTCTGAGCCGCGCCCTGCACGGCGCCCTCTTACCCGTCTGACAGCTATGCGAGCGTCGGGACCCCAGCCCTCTTCACATTGCGGCCTTGCTGCTTGCTGGCTGTGCAACCTTGGGCAGGTGACAAACCTCTCTGTGCCTCTGCGATGATGCCAGCACTCTCCTAGGATTCTGTGGGGGTGAAGTGTGCCAGCATAAGCGAAGTGCTCGGAAGACGTCCTGGTGCACAGCAACCACTCCACGCGTGCCGAGTGTTACTTGTCGCTGCGGGCCCTGTGTACCTGACAGAGGAGTGGAGGCTGAGTGACATCCCCAGGTGGTCCAGCCAGGACTGGAGGCCAGGCACTGGTCTTCAGGAGTCACGCTCTGGGCCATGCCTGCAGTGACCTCAAGGGAGGGGCGCAAGTCCCAGGTCCCAATACCCCCGGGAGGCCGGGGAGGCTGTGAGATGACCAGTGGGGCAGGGCTTGGCCCCCGGAGGGAGAGGCCAGAGCAGGGAGGTCATCCGAAGTCCCCGCTGGGGGTTTGAACTAGAACCTGGGATCTGGATTCTATTCCTTTGGAGAAGGAGTAGGGAGGGAGGGGCAGGGGTTACTTCTCAAGTCAGCATTTGGCTGGGAACAGGACTCATCTCCAAGGGGGGTCGGCCCCGTGGGAGCCATTTTAGTGGAGGCTCAAAACCAGCAGAGCTGAGGAGGGGTGGGGCACGTGCTTAGCAGGCACCAGGTCCTGGGTTCAGTCCCCATTCCCTCCATTTTTAAAACAAGAAGGAAAAAAGGAAAGAAAACATAGCGCAAGCGGGGCGTCCTGGGCGCCCTGACCACTCCCTCTCCGGAAGGGGCGCGAGTGGCCCCGTGGCGTCTGCGCCCACCAGTGCTCGGGAAATAATACCCAGGCCTGGCCAGGCCTGGCTTCCCTGCTTCCCGTTCCACCCGGGGAAGCAGGGCCCCGTGCCGCCCAGCCCCGGGGCAGTTCCTGTCCGTTCACCAGACTCTCATTCAGCACCGACTGTGTGTCAGGCACTGCTCTAGAGATTGGGTACTTCTATGGACAAAGTGGGCCAAGATTTTGCCCCGTGGAGCCTCTGTGGCTGTTCTGGAGCGGTGCAGTGTTCCACGTGGGCAGCTGGACATGATCTGCACGCCGGCCCCATGGTGGAGAAGCCCCAGCTCTGAGTCTGTGTCCTAGCCCAGAGAGCAAGGACCGAGCTCTGGCTCTGTGACGCCCCCGAGAATGCAGGCAGCGGCGGTCTCCGGTGCTGGGAAAGCCACCGCATTCGCCCGAGTCTTCCTAGAGACTCACCCCTGTGTTCCATGCTCATCCGTCCCAGACGCAGCCCCTCCTGGCCGGGTTTTGAGATTCAGCTCTCCCACCTCAAATGAACTGCTACCTTTCTTCCTAGGAAATGCTGCC